AGAAACTAGCCCTGATACAATTAATAGTAGACTTTAAGACCCCACTTACATCAACAGATAATCTAGACAGAAAATGAGTAAGGAAATTGTGACCAGATAGTTTTAACAGATATATACAGAATATTCCATCCCACAACAGAATATACATTCTTTTCAAGTGTACAGGGAACATTTTCCATAAAATATCATGTTAGGTCACAAAACAAATCTCAATAAATTTAAGGTGACTGAAATCATATTAAGGATCTTTTCCAACCATAACATTATGAAACCAGAGCTCTATTACAAGAAAAAACTTGAAAAAACACAACCACATGAAGACTAAACAACATACTATTCAATAAACAATGGGTCAAGAAAGAAATAAAAAAGACAAATGAAAAAAAAACCCTCAAGACAAATGAAAATGGCAACAAAATGGTTCAAAATCTTTGGGGTGTAGCAAAAGAAGTCCTAAGAGGAATGTCAGTAGCACTAAACCTATTTATCAAGAAACAAAAACTTTACACAATCTAATCTTACACCTAAAGGAACCGGAAAAACAACAAAGCCCAAGGTTAGTAGGAGGAAGGAAAATTATAATAAAGTTCAGAGCAGATGGGGCGCCTGGGTGGCTCAGTGAGTTAAGCCTCCGCCTTCGGCTCAGGTCATGGTCTCAGGGTCCTGGGATCGAGCCCTGCGTCGGGCTCTCTGCTCAGCATGAAGCCTGCTTCCCCCTCTCTGCCTGCCTCTCTGCCTAATTGTGATCTCTTTCTCTGTCAAATAAATAAATAAAATCTTAAAAAAAAAGATCAGAGCAGAAATAAATAACATACAGACTAAAAAATATATATAAAAATGATTAATGAAACTATGCTGTTTCTTGAAAAGACAAACAAAACTGATAAACCTTAAACCAAACTCATCAAGACAAAAGAGGACCCAAACAAATCAGAAATAAAAGAAAAGTTACAACGGACACCAAAGGATTATAAGAGACAAGAGACGACTATGAAAAATGCATGTCAACAAATTAGACAATGTAGAAGAAATATATACATTTCCAGAAACATACAATCTTCCAAGATTGCATCAGGAAGAAAGAGAAAAACTGAACAGACCAATTACTGGTAACAAAATTGAATCAGTAATCAAAAAACTCCTAACATCAAAAGTCTAGGACCAGATAGCTTCACAGGTGATTTCTACCCAATATTTATTTTTTTTAAAGATTCTATCCATTCATTTGTCAGAGTGAGAGAAAGCTCACAGCAGAGGGAACAGTAGGCAGAGGGAGAAGCAGGCTCCCCGCTTAGCAAGGAGTCCGATGCAGGACTCTATCTCAGGACCCTGGGGACCATGACCCAAGCTGAAGACACCTGCACTGTCTGAGCCACCTGGGTGTCCTCTAGCCAACATTTAAAGAAGAGTTAATATCTATCCTTCTCAAGCTATTCCAAAAAGTAGAATAGGAAAGAATGCTTCTAAATTCATTCTACCAAGAACATTACTATTCTGATACCAAACCCAGAGAGAAAAAAAAAAAAATTACAGATCAATATCCCGATGAACATAGATGCAAAAATTCTCCAAAAAATATTCACAAACTAAATTCAACAATACATTAATAAAAGGATCATTCACCACAATCCAGTGGAATTTATGTCAGGGATGCAAGGACAGTTCAATATCTACAAATAAATCAACATGATGTATCACATTAACAAAATTAAGCATAAAAATTATATGATCATTTCAATAGATGCAGGAAAAAACACATGACAGAATTCAACATCCATTTATGATAAAAATTCTCAACAGGGTTGGTAGAGAGGAACCGTACCTCAATGTAATAACAGGCCATATATGACAAGCCTACAGCTAACATACTCAGTGGTGAAAAGCTGGAAGCTTTTCTTCTAAGATCAGGAACAAATCAAGGATGTCCACCCTCACCACGTTTACTCAACACAGTACTGGACATCCTAGCCTTGGCAATCAGACAAGAAAAGGAAATAAAAGGCATTCAAATTGGTAAAGAAGAAATGAAACTGTCACTATTTGCAGGTGACATGACACTATATATAGAAAACCCTAAAGACTCCACCAAAAAACTGCCAGAACTAATAAATGATTTAGTAAAGATGCAGGATAAAAAATTAATATACAGAATCTGTTGTGTTTCTATATACTAGTAACTACCAGAAAGATAAATTAACAATCCCATGTACAATGACCTCATAAAGAACAAAATACCTAGGAATAAATGTAAAAGGAGGCAGAAGACCCGTATTCTGGAATGATTAAGATTACAGATGAAAGAACCTAAAGATGACACAGATGAATGGAAAGACATTCTGTGCTAATGAACTGGAAGAAGAATGTTAAAATGTCCAACCAACCAAAGCAATCCACAGAGCCAGTACAATCCCTACAAAATGCTGATAGTATTTTTCATAGAACTAGAATGAATAATGCTATAATTTGTATGGAACCACAAAAGACACCAAATTGACAGCAGTCTTGAGAAAGAACAAAGCTGGAGGTATCATGCTGTTTTATTCAAACTATACTATAAACCTGTCGTGTTCTAAACAATATGGTACCAACACAGAAAAAGACACACGGATCAACTGAACAGACTGGAGAGGCCAGAAATAAACCCATATTTATATGGTGAATTAATCTATGATAAAGAAGGAAGAATATACAACATGGAAAAGGCAGTCTCTTTGATAAATGGTGCCGGGAAAACTGGATAGCTACATTCAAAAGAATGAAATTTGATCACTTTCTTATACCACACACAAGAAAATAAACTCAAAATGAATTAAAGACCTAAATGAGACCTGAAACCATAAAACTCCTAAAAGAAAACATAGAGGTAATAAACTTACGGATATTGGCCCCAGAAATATTTTCCTGGATCTGTCCCCTCAGACAGGGAAAAAAAGCAAAAATAAATACCTGGGAATCTATTAAATAAAAGGCTTTTTGCACAGCAGAGGACCATCAACAAAACAAAAAGGCAACCCTATGGAAACAGGAGAACATATTTGCAAATTATGTATCTCATAAAGGGATGAGGTCTAAAAAATATAAAGAATTCATACAACTAATCAAAAAAATAAACATGGGCAGAAGATCCAAATATGAATTTTTACAAAGAAGACCTACAGATGACCAACAGACACATGAAGAGCTGCTCACCATTACTAATCATTAGGGAAATGCAAACCAAAACAACAGTGAGGTATCACCTCACACCAGTCAGAATGTCTAGTACCAAAGAGACAAGAACTAACAAGTGTTGGTGAGAATGCAGAGAAAAGGGAACACTGGGGCATTGCTGATGGGAATGTAAATTGGTGCAGCCCATACGGAAAATGGAATGGAGGTTCCTCAAAAAATTAAAAATAGAAATATTACATAATCCAGTATTTCCACTACTAGATATTTAGCCAAAGAAAACCAAAACATTAACTCAAAAAAAAATGTATCCCAAGTTCACTGAAGCATAATTTATAATAGCCAAGATATGGAGCAACCCAGTGTCCACTGAAACGAATGGACAAAGAATTTGTGGTATATATCCAGTGGAATATCACTCAGCCATAAAGAGAAGGAAATCTTGTCCTCTGTGATGACACGAACTAGAGGGCATTCTGCTAATTAATTCAGACAGGGAAAGACAAATACCATATGATTTCATTTATAGGTCCTATCTTAAAGAAATAATGAACAAACAAAACACAGAAACAGACCCATAAATACAGAGAATTGGAGCTTGCCAGAGAGGTACAGGGATGGGCAAATGGATGAAGGGGATTAAGAGGTGCGAACAGTTATAAAACAGTAAGCCACAGGGATGAAAAATAAAGCATAGGCAATATCATCAATTCTACTGTAATAACTTTGTATAATGACAGCTGGTAACTGCACTTACTGTGGTCAACATTTCATAACATACAGAATTCTTTAATCACTTTGTATATCGGAAACTAGTATTATATTGCGTGTCAACTATACTTCAATTAAAAAATTTTAAAATAAATATAAGTAGGAACTCCTGGGCGGCTCAGTCCGTTAAGCGTCCACCTTCAGCTCAGGTCATGGTGCCAGGACCCCGTGACTGAGTCCCACATTGGGCTCCTTGCTCAGCAGGGAGCCTGCTTCACCCTCTCCCACTCCCCCTGCTTGTGATCTCTCTCCCTCTCTCTCTGACAAATAAATAAAACCTTCCAAATAAATAAATAAATATAAATAAACCAGATTGGTGGAGGGGGGGGGGAGCGTGCAGACAACGTTTCTAAAAAAGCACATTGAGCCCATAACACCTAAGTCTAGATTTTAAGTAATTTTTCTCTTATCTTTCAAGGTAGACTCACATCCTTTTTTAAAAAATTTTTTTTAAATATTTTATTTATTTATTTATTTATTTGACAGAGAGATGCACAGCGAGAGAGGGAACACAAGCAGGGGGAGTGGGAGAGGGAGAAGCAGGCTTCCTGCCCAGCAGAGAGCCCGATGCAGGGCTCGATCCCAGGACACTGGGATCATGACCTGAGCCAAAGGCAGCCTAATGACTGAGCCCCCCAGGCACCCCAGACTTAAATCCTTTTTGAAACACTGCAAAATTTAAACAAGTGCCAGTTACCAAAGCCCATGCCTAAACCAGTCACTATTCAACTACCACAATACCCTGGGGAAAAGAGTAATATAGTGTATAATCTCATTTTTCCCTTGCTTACTTAGCATATACATTCCTTCACTACTGTCTATTTTTGTCAATTAATATGAGATTTAGGTCAGGGACCATATGTGAAAAACTTGGTAAATAATCATGTTTACAGAAATACAAAGTGTTTATATATCAAGGAAATATGATGAGATTGTTGGATGATAGTATTTGAAGTCAAAGTTTGATCCTTCAAAGATGAGTAAAACTTCCTTAAAATTCTAATTTAGGAATTAAATTCTTGTTAGTCACTAACGGTACTGGGTATTTTAATATCTAGCAATTCTACTGAAATTATATCCAATAAATTAAAGTCTTTTATTGAATTCAATCAGAAGGATACAGGGGTTTTTTTGCAATCATAAATACAGAAATAAATCGAAAATGAATTCTATGATATATCTGGACCAACTGTGAATTTACAAAGTAAATAACAAATATTCAGTTCTCATTTTACCAAATGACTTTGATGAACAAGTGAAAAAATACATCATTCCTGTTGCCGGTTTCCTGTGGGATTCCTTGAGTATATTTTAAGTAAATAAAGAATACATTAGACTACAAAGCAACAAAGAGATCTATAGCAGAAGCAATGATTGAAATGATGAATGTCCCCAGCGGTGGAAGGAGCATTTCGCCAGAGGATGCAGAGGGATGGGTTTTGGGACCGGGAACTGGAACCGGATCTGGAGCTGTTGATGAGAACACACAGTCACTGACACATGTCATTTCTGATAGCCAGCCTCATGCACCTAAACCAGGTACCCTGATGTAGATGATGTTCAAGTTGAACTACAAACTTTCCTCAAACGCTAACCAGAAACAATGTTGGAATAAGTACAGTTCAATACAGATTTCAGGCTGTGTTTTCATGTATATCAGCAGGGTGTGCTGACATAGTTTTTACCTAGGATTCCACAGGTTTTTTTTTTTTTTTAAGATTTTATTTACTTATTTGACAGAGAGTAGGCAGTAGGCAGAGAGGCAGGCAGGGGAGGGGGAAGCAGGCTCCCCGCTGAGCAGAGAGCCCGATGCAGGCCTGGTCCCAGGACCCTGAGATCATGATCTGAGCCAAAGGCAGAGGCTTAATCCACTGAGCCAACCAGGTGCCCTCCACAGCCTTTTTAGTATCTCTGTAGACAAGATACCTTTTGTTGTTCTTCAAGTACTCTAGAATTTCTTAGCAATTTTTTGTCTTCATTTTCTGTATATACATGCAAGGTAGAGTTTGATTCTATTTCAAGACTATATTTCAGATGTATATGCTAATAGTTACCAATATGTGATTAAATACAGCTGCATTTTTAAACACTAAGCCCTGCCAACTGAAAAAAAATGAACTTTTTCCCTCCATACATGGATCACTGGTCTGGAGGAAACAGTTTCCCTTTCACCTGAACTAGTGAAAAGAAACAGTAGAGTCCACTCATGTGAGGATGATCTGTTTCACACAGAATTATGTAACTGAATGATGGCTGTGCTTCGGTTTAGACTATACAAGGGAGGACTGGGAAGTATCCCAATGGAATCACACTCAGACTTCATACACAAAGCCTAGAGAAACAACCAATAAATTTTATAAGTCTTTAACTCCTATTATCAATTTACTCAACCATAATTATAAACATACAGTTGTATGTATACAGATGGGGAAAGGGAAAGACAGGTAGACTCATACATTAGTTTGTTACTATAGACCAGTGGTTCTCAAGGGATCAGTACGGCCCCCTATCAGGCAGTTTGGAGTTTGTCAGGTGTGTGTGTGTGTGTGTGTGTGTGTGTGTGTGTGTGTATTTTAAGAATTAAATCTGTTGGGGCGCCTGGGTGGCTCACTTGGTTAAGAGTCTGCCTTTGGCTCAGGTCATGATCTCAGGGTCCTGGGATCGAGCCCACGTGGTCTCCCTGCTCAGCGGGGAGTCTGCTTCTCTAGCTCCCTCTGCCTCTGCTGCTCCCCCATGCTCATGCTTTCTCTCCTTCTCTCTCTCAAATAAATAAAATAGTTTTTAAAAAGCTAAATTTGTCTTTAATGGGATCATCCCTACTAAAAGTTATCTGCATGTACACTCATGTCAGCATGAGTGTAGGGAAATTGTGAATTAGAATCTTGATCCTGAGTATTTCCTTGTCTTAAACCTTTTCCAAAATTTTGCTCCTTTTATAAATCATTTCCATTTGTAGGTAATCTTCAGGATCTCTAAAAAGAGCATACTGCTTCAAGTTGCTTTTTTTCTTTAATTTTATTTAAATTCAATGAACAAATAACGTATTATTGGTTTCAGAGGTAGAAGTCAATGATTCATTAGTCTTACATAATATCGAGTGCTCATTACATCACATGCCCTCCTTAAATCCAATTTGTATAAGTAAATACAATCATCTGTCAATTATTTCTTTCAGTATAATGTAGACCCTTACATATTGAAATCTATGCAATTTTGTTATAAATTATAGTTATATAAATAAATAACATTATATTGATATTCTTATGGGTGCAAGTAGGTCTTCTTATCTATGAATGCTATTCCAGGACACTATAAAGGCTTTATAAATATTTGTTATAAAAAGGGAGACTGGATTGAGAGGGTTAAGAACCACTGCTCTAAACAAAACACACAGCTGAAAATGATTGCTTAAGAAATTAATTTACTCCCCCCATATCACACTAATAAATATTTGGATATGACATTATATCCCATATAATGATCCCTTAAACTCTTGAAACTTTGTACCTGTTATTGAAAAATAAGTCTGTTACTTTTTCTATATTGCAGATCAGACATTTATCAACTAAGGAAATGAAATATTTCTTACCAGGATTGCCGATATCTTCTTGACTTTTGTCTTCTAAAATATGAACAGATTTTGGGTTAACTATATTGTACATCTATTTACCCAGAAGAGAAAAATCTGATTAAATGATTAGGCAAACTTGGTTGTCTCTGACAATGGGTCTGCAGGGCAGAGTATCACGTTTAGATTTATGCGTGGGGTTGAGGAAGGGTTTAATTTTTTCTCACTTTGCTCTGAATTTTTTTCACCATTATGTATATTTGTTTTCATTAAAAGAAAGATTAAACTTTTATATACAAAAAAAGGTACTTTTTCTGGACACTGTACTAATTCCCAAGTACAACATTAATACCCATCATTGAGTGCTTTCTGTGTGTCATACTTTGTGCTGATGATTTATGTACATCATCACGTTTTTTACAGTCTCAGAAGGTGGATATAGTTATCAGTATTATACAGAAGTTCCTCAAAACTTGCATAAAATCACAGAGGTAGTCAGTCAGTGGCAGCAATGTCTAAATTTAAAGCCTCTGCTCTCAATTACTGTGATATACGACCTCAATTACAATGCTACACTAGCACTGAAATATTACAATATTGCCGTATTTTGACAGCTTTGAAGCCAAATACCAATTCTAGGGGCCCAGGACAGAGGTGTATTTTCTGTAACTACATCTGGTTGGAAGACAAGTGTCATATGACAGAAGGTGAACAAAATTTGAGAAGTCTGAGTCCCAGTTTTCTCTTTCCCGTCTTTAACAGGTTCCTCAAGCTTCCTATATCCCATATCTTCATCTCTAAACTGGCAATAACAATATTTAAGTGGATTAAATGAGATCCTGTGTAAATGTTTTTTGCCACTTCTAAAAAGCCTGCACTACACACATTTGTCTAGGAGAGAGCACAATATGAAACATTCCCAGCAAAACCTAGTGGCCTATTTGTTGGAGGACATGGTGAGCACAGTGAGAACACAGAATGGTCTCATGCCACAGGGTTCCCACGGATGGCTCTTTGACGATGCTGTCCCAATTACTACAGATTCCCTCAACTTGGGAAGCCTACTGTCCTATTCTGGAATAGACCCCCGCAGCTGCAAGCCAGCAGTCTTTTTCTATGCTTAGCCCAGACAGCCGTAATGGCAGCCTGCTGCTCTCCCTGGTTTCTCAGCCTTTTCTCCTTCTGGCTTGCAGATTGCAGTATCAGAAGATGGATAGTCCAGGTGTTTTCCTTTGCCTTCTTAACACTGAACTAACTGAATGATGATGGTAAAGGACCCAGAAAACCATGATACGTCCACCCCCAAAAAAGAATTTATTACCAGGTTTTTCATCCAGTTGTACCACTTTTATTCCTAAATGAGAAAGAATTTCAGATAATAATAAAGACAACCACCATTTACTACTACTTTAAATTACCATTCATTTTGCCAAACTTTATCTCATTAGGACTTCAATCAGTCTTGCTAGACAATGTTTTCTTCACTTTACAGATTCGAAAGCAGAAGCAAAGAAAAGTGAAATAACTTTAATATAAAGTTACCCAGAGGAAAATGGCAGAGAAGAGACTTATTGAAACGGGGTCTGTCTACACAGCCTGTGATCATTTCCCACCCCGCTGGGCAGCTGCCTTCAGATAATCACCGTGCCTGGAAGGAACCCATGAGAACCCTGTGCCAACTCAGGTCACTGAGCTGAAGAGTTGTAGACACACAAGATGGGCCATCGGTGTTGTTAGAGGTTCACTTCGAAGTTGTGAGCAAACAAACACGTGGCCCAACGTGACAAAACCGGGTGAAGGCAGAAGAGCTGCTGGACCTTCTCTCGAGGCCCGTATCTGTGAGTTAGGCGGTTAACTGTGCGTATGCGGTTTCTGCACACAGCGCTGTGCTCTTTCCACAGACAGCGACGTTAGGCAAAGCTCAGCACCGTGCTATTCATTATATAATAATAAGACATATCAAAAATTATTTTCAAAATACTACGTGAACCGAGGAGGAAGGATTTAAGCATTAAATGGGGGCTTGCACCCTGAGATTTTGTGTTTTTCTAGTCCGCAGAGATATCCCCATAAGGTAAGCATGACAAGTATTAGCCTATTTGAAAGATAACAATTCTGAGGCAGAGAAGTGTTACTACTGTCCATAGCTCTCTTGTAAATTATGTCTACTTTTAAAAAATAAACTTCTCTTTGTCCCAGGAGAAAAATTAAGTTTAGGGACCTTTTTCCTCCTCTATAAGCATAAGTTCTGAGCCCCTTCTGAGGAACTTGACAGAAATTACTGTTCAGTCTCTCTGGCCACCGAAGCTCAAGGCCCCTCGGCCTCATCCTCGCCAACAGCCTCACACCGTTTAAATTCTCATTTAGCATTTTCATGGCTGTATCTGATGGGCAGGCTACACCGGCCACGGTAAAATGAAACTGGAAAATCACTTGAAGATCCACAAGTCTCCAGGGATGGGTACTACATCGTAAGTTAAGAGAGGTGGGTCCTTTACTCACTTACCTGATCTTGTGCGAAGTTCTTAGGCTCCCCTGCATCCTCTAATGGTGACAACTATAACTATACCCCCCAGACTGGCAGCTTCCTCTCTCCTATGCCAACTACTGCTTACCTGGTAGTGAAACAGTTTCTGGAATTTTCATTCCTAAGTGAGAAAGAAGTTTTCAGTGACTTACAGTTTGCTCCGGGGAGTCCATTTTCCCAGCTCTTCCCTGATGAGCTTAAGTGATACACGTGCCAAAGCTCCCACTGCGGCGTGGTTTCTGACTACAACTTTGGGCTGTGAGAACCCCCGCCGTGCAAACCTACGTCCGGCTTAGAGGAGCCTTCTGCCTTGGCACTGGGCTGAGCTCGTCCGTATGCCAGAAGACTGTACTTTGTTAGTTGGTAAATTCTAGATGCGGAGTTCCTAGCCAAAGCTAAAAGTCAGCTTTCTGCTGAAGCTGAACTTTCTACTGAGTAACTTCAGCTGTGGAAGCTAGAAAGTGCTGGCTTGCATACCTCCGGGTTCCAGCACCCTTGCCTTCAGCCATGCCCCAAACAGGCTAACTTTCCTGCTCCAGGAACACACGTACACTAGAGAAGAAAGACACTTTTTCCTCTCTATTCTCTTCCCCAGCTAAATCCGAAGAATGGTTAGTAGGCAGCTATAAGGCAAATGTTAATGAATAAGAGTCTCATGATAACATGTTCTTTAATGCCTGGGGGAATTCTTCTCATCTCACACTTGGGCCCAGAGAGTAAAAAGAAAGCCGTCTTACCAGGCATTTGGGTGGCTTCACGGCTTGTCATACCTCAAGACAGAAATGAGTATTAGGGTTAATCAGTTTCCTTGCACTGTGAATGCTCTCTTTTGTCTACATCTCCCCCCTCTCCAACCCTAAAAAAAGGAAGAAGAAAACAGCCAACAACAAAAACACCTTTCAATGGCTCTTTGACAAAGCCCAGTGCTTGGCCTGCACTTTAAGAACTTCCAGGATCTGGCCCCTCTCTCTCCAATCTTATCTTTGCAAGGCAGTCCCAATACAGCAGCTTTTAAACGAAACTGTACTGAGTGGGTACTGGGGAGGGCACGTATTGCATGGAACACTGGGTGTGGTGCATTAACAATGAATCTTGGAACACTGAAAAATAACATAACATAACATAACATAACATAACATAACATAACATAAGAGAGTCTACTTGGTTTAGTTCTATTGTCATCATAATAATCAGCTCTCTGACGGGTCCGGCTTCCGAATCTTTCTGAGCTTCAATTCCTTATTTACGCAAAAGAAATACACTCTAGGCCTGGAGTAAGTGATGATTAAAGGAAATAAGTCGTACAAGTGCTTGGTATACTGCATGGACCATACTAAGTAAGCATGAATTAATGCAGTACCTCTGTTCTGACTTAACTCATTCCTCAAACTCTCCATGTCCAGGAATGTCCTGAGTCCTAGGAGTAAGCCCTTATGTCTCCTCCTAACCCTGCAGCTAGTCTTAGAGGATAAGGAAGAGGTACCTACCAGGTAAGACTGGGGACTCCTGGCTTTTCACTCCTAAAGATGAGAAAAGAAACTCTTCAGTGAAAAATGCAATCAACTTGAAAATTAACCTTGTATTTATATGGCTATTTACAGTGGAAAACGAAAAGCTTTGAGAGACGGCAGGGACCAGGGTAAAAGGGGAGAAATTTAATCCACCAGAGCTTGACTGACTTATGGTGAGAACAACTATGTCTAGCTCTCTCCTAGATTATGCAAAACAGCTCTTATTTTATTTTTTTAAGATTAAATCCAAAGACTCCCACCTACATGTGTCATATTCTTAAAAATAAAACTTCTTGATTACATAATACATTATAATTACTGATAATCTGGAAAAACCCAAGAAATAATTAAAAATTACTCATAATCGGGGCACCTGGGTGGCTCAGTGGGTTAAAGCCTCTGCCTTTGGCTCGGGTCGTGATCCCAGGGTCCTGGGATCGAGTCCCGCATCAGGCTCTCTGCTCAGCAGGGAGCCTGCTTCCTCCTCTCTCTCTGCCTGCCTCTCTGCCTACTTGTGATCTCTGTCTGTTGAATAAATAAATAAAATCTTAAAAAAAAATTACTCAGATTAATCCCAGATCTCAGAGCTTTTCATCCTCAATATTTTGGGTATATCTCCTTTCCATTTCTTTGCTATATATATATATATTCATACCATTTTAAGCATTGTTTCCAGCCTTTCTGAGAAGTAATTGATAGCACTGTATAAATTAAAGGTGTACAGCATAATGATGCAACTTATATATGTTGTGAAATGATCACAGTTAACATCTAGCATCTCATACAGATATTTAAAAAAAGAAAAAAATGGCTTTTTTCCTTGTGGTAAGAACTCTCAAAACCTACTCTCTTAGAAACTTTCCGAAGCGCCACACCCCTGTGCTGCTCTACTCACCCTGCTACATGTTACATCTCCAATACTTGGGTCTCCTATAACCGAAGTTCGTATCTTTTGACATTCAAGATTTACTTATTTTAGAGAGAGAGAGAGAGCACATGAGTGAGCACAAGTGGGGGGAGGGCAAAAGGGGGGCAAGAAAGAGAGACAGACAGATAAGCAGACTCCTGCTAATAAAGCACAGAGCCTGATGCAGGGCTTGATCTCACAACCTTTAGATCATGACCTGAGCTGAAATCAAGAGTCGGATGCCCAACCAACTGAGCCACCCAGGTGCTCCTCTTTTGAAATTTTTAAATAAGCTGCTATTACAGTTCATATGCTTTTTTACACATTTTACTTGCCACTATATTATAAGCATCTTCTCATATTTTTCAAAAATATTATTTTTAGGGGCACCTGGGTGGCTCAGCATGGAGTCAGCTTCTTTTTCCTTTGCCCATCCCCCTGCTCACACGTGTGCATGAGCACTCTCTCTTGAATGGATAAATAAATCTTTAAAAAAATATATTATTTTTAACTTGTTTCGTGTTTCATTATATGGATATTATTTAACAATATCCAACTGTTGAATACTAAGGTTATTCAGAAATTTTGGCTACCACACACTGTAACCATTTTGTACACAAATCTTTATTTCTTTAGTACAAATCTTAATGTGCTGTAACTAGGTTAAAAGGTATGGACATTTTTAAGGCTAATAATACATACCATCAAACCGTCCTTCAGAAAAGTTCCAATTTATAATATTACCATTAATTTATGAGTGTCCCTGTCCCAGAACCCTTGAGGACATTTGAATAATATTATAAAAAAAGATAAAAAACAAAAACTTGGGAATGAGCTGTACTTCAAAATACATGAAATAATCAGATGGATACAGCTAAAAGCATCTATTACTCAGATTGCTGGAAACAGAAATAAACACACAAAATCACTGTAATTTAGAAAAAAACAATGACACTTTACAATGCCTCTGCCAACACCCTAGGTTACAAGAGTCTGTGAAGTCACACCTTCTTCTATCCTGCCACAGCGAACACAAAAGCATAAAATACGCTCTGTAGTATACATGCTGCCACAGCGAGCGCAGGAAGCAGGCCCTTTAGAACCAGCTCCTCGTGTCATGTCTCTAAATGCTCTCTGGTCATCTTGGAGATAAATGGGAGAGTTAAGCAAGAGAGAAGGCAGCTGCGTCATCTTTATAAGGTCGACCTGTAACTCAGGACGGCTCTGATATACCAAACTAGTAAGCTAAAGTGGGTTCTGTCTTCTTCCCACTTTTCCCGACTGTGTTATGCTTACCTGTTTCCATCCCTGAGAGAGCTAGACTACAAATGAAAACCCCTGGAGTTTACAAAAATATCTTACCAGTGTCTTCAATGTTCTGGTCTTTCTCACCTAAGTTATAAGAAGAAACTTATCCGTTTTAATGATAAAACAAAATAACTGAGAATTACTACAGTTACAGCAAACTATTCTCAGATACTAGAACCATAAAGAACCACTTGGTACATCCAATAAACTAGAGCTACTAAATTTAAGTGTCAGCCAGAATCTAAATGCACCACATTGGGCTGGAACCTTCCAGAGGCCCCCTTGGACCCCTTTTCTTAAGAAAAATCACTACAGAGACAAAGTCTCCTGGGGATCTCAATGAGGTAGAAAAACATCCGTCTTGAAGACTGAGCTGAAGCCCCTGTGAAATGACCAGTAAAACTTGCGTCCGCAACGGGCCAGTAAGAAGTGAGGCTATGCAAGCCCTCGGGCTCATGCGAAGCTTCACAAAATGCTTCACCTCGGGACAGAAGTGTCTTCCAAATATCATACTTAAGGAAAACCCAGATGCTTTTCTCTCTTAAGTGAAGAAAAACTTATTATAGCTACAGGGGCCGAACACATAATAAGGAACTTAAATGCAAAAAAGTGATTTGAGTCATATCAACGGAAGTGGAAACTTAGGGGGGAAGCATCCAATCACCCAGGCATCTTATTTAGCCAAATGATAACAAATATCAGCATATTTGACAGATGAAAATGAGTAGCTTTTCCCCTTTCATCTGGATGCGTGGTGCCACATAGGCTAACCTCAGTGATGAATACAGACCTCTCCGTAAGAGGCCCGCATCCCTGTCAAGAGCGACTAGCCCTTCGGGTCCTACCAACCTTACTCCCCAGAATGTTTCCATATTATTCATATCTCCGGAGACCCAACCTTCCATTTACAAAAAGCTAACTTTCCCCCAGAATAAATTCTTTTCTCCCCTTCTCTTATTTCTCAAGTTACACTTTCATATCTGCAAAGTACTCTTTCCTAAGCTAAGAAGTGAATTTGCTAAACAGGAAAGAGCTAGTAAATACTAAACATCCATGTAAGGATTATTTAAAAAAAAAAATTAAAGCCCACTTACCCGGGTTGTAGAGATAGATGGGGAGATGATGTTCTGAAATACAGACATTTTTCATTACCTAGTACTATGCTCAGATGTAAATAAATGTCAGACTCAGTCTATTTTTAAATGCTCATTAATAAAATAGATTTAAGTTGGCTTCCAAAAATATAGTAATATGAGAAATTTAAAATTTCAATCTCAAAAACAAATGGGTATGGATTTATTTTAATTACATGAAGAATTCACAGAAAAACTGGCCAGGAACACAGCTAGAAACAGACCTTTATTCCCAAATCTTTTAACAAGGATATCTTCAAAAGGATCCACCCAAAGCATGCATTAGCCTCAAGCACTTTCTGGAACCTTTGGTTCAAATCTCTTGGGCTTATCTGATAATGCTCTTCCCTCCTAGAATTCCCCTGTATCCTCCCAAATCTTTCCCACCTTCCTCTACGGAAGTTTGTTTTTGTTACCTCCTCCTATCCCCCAAGCCCAGGAAGGTGAGACAGACCCATTATCGTTCCGTCCTCTGTCTCCCCCCTTCAGCTATACGCACTCAATTCCTTCCCTTTTTAGTCTCCCAAATGTTATTTCCTAAGATGTCAAAATACGGGATATGAATCTGGCCCTGTGCACAGGAATTGCGTAGGGGCTTTCAAAAGTCCTTCCCCGCCTACAAGGACAGGCTAGGGTGAGAGTGGCGCAGTCCCTACCCACCCAAGGCGATGTAGTGTCCGCGAGAATGGCCACAGGCATGGCATGGGGTGGAGAGCAGGCAACAGAGGCCCGTGGGCCCTCCACCTGACAAGACGGTGGCCGCTGCACAGCTCAGCCCTGAGAAAACGATGGCTGTAGCAGGACAACATGGTGGCGCGGCTCTGACCCACACCTGGGAGAAGTAACATTCCCCTTACAGAGGAAATATTTTAACAGCGTATCTTACCTGTGTTCTCCACACAATTTTCCGTTTTTAGTCCTGAAATATGAAGATAAAGCTTTATTAGTTAGACACACTCTGCCCTAAGAAAAATTTCAAATTGGTCTTAGAGCTACTGGTAACCTAATGTGTCAGCTTTAATCTATCAGATCTGTAATTTGGCAGGATACAAAATGAGGAACAACTACATTTTTGTGCTCACATTACAGCCATCAAAGAGCAGTATGATCTTTGATAAAACATCTAACATTTCTGGAATTCAGCTTCCTTATCTGCATCTTTTACTGGGAGTTTGCTTCAAATAACCTCCAAATGCCCATCCAAGGCTAACACTTTGATTCTATTCTATGATTAGTCCGCAACCTTAGGAAAAAATTTATCTGTCTGTTCAATCAATCTTCTCTTCAGATACTAAATGTCCTCAACAGAAAATCTAACCTTTCACTATGAGATTTCTTTTTTTTTAGACGAGAATGGGTGCGTGTGTGCACAAGAGCAGGGGACGAGGCAGAGAGAGAATCTTAAGCAGACTCCACGTCCATCCAGCACTGAGCACAACCAGCGCTCCATCTCATACCCTGAGATCCTGACCGGAGCCTGAATCAGGAGTCAGACGCTTACCCGACTGAGCCACCCAGGTGCCCCTATGACAATTCCTATTCATTGGAGAAAAAGAATCGCAATCAGATCTTCAAGATCCTTGGATATAGAAAGATCCTTCACATTCACATAAAGAAACACATTGGTCTGTTCCAGAACACTGATTTATATAGTAAGGAAATCCACAGTTTTTGGAAAGCAAGGATACGGCATAATATGGCATCTACCACTATATCTTTATAAGGCCCCAGACCCTCTTGCTAAGTCTAGGGCCTTATACAAAAATCACCAGAGCTGCGGGATTCCTCTGAGGCAGGACGCACAGGGACAGCGCTGGCCTGCCCCACAGCCAGGAAGGCAGGGACTCCCATGGGAGGATGTTCAGATTTGGTGCCAGCATGGGCCGCGAGGGCTTCCCAGGATGCTGAGAAGGCCTAGGGCTCTGTGGTCTCCTCTCCAGGTCCGGCTGACTCACTGATCCAACCTGGGTATTCAGCTGCCTGAGGATGAATCTCTCCATGTAAAATGGGGGAACCCCTAAGAGGTCTGTCTTCACGACGAGAGATGCGCTTTTCTGTAATCTCTCAAATCCTGCTCTGTGTGTGGAGATTGAACCAAGAATCTCAGTGACTTGGTCCAGTTTCCGCTGGTCCAGGAAATGGTACGGATCCATTAGAATTTGGATGGTGCCCTGAGGCTAACCTCAGGTGTCTAGCTAAGCTAGAAATTAAAAAAAAAAAAAAGGCTAGAGACTAATACAAAATATTGCATTAGCAGGAGATCAAAGAGTGCAAGTTTCACTCAGAAAGCTAAGCTGAGGGTGAGGTAAAGGCAGGGGAAGGGGTGACTTGAGAAAACTATTGGTATAATAGAGAGATTCACCAGGAGATGAGACACTGGGGGGGATTTTAAAGCCTTTACCTTTCATCTGTACCATAAATTAGAGCAGGTTTCTCAAAGTGTAGTCTTCTAATCACATACTTCAGAATCATGTGGGTGTTTACTGAATTTACAAATTTCTGGGCCCTAGCCAGGACTACTGAGAGAGAATTTCTAGGGGTGATGCCTTGTAATCTGCATTTTAAAAAGGATTCCAAGTGATTTTTTTTAATGCACCAAATTTTTTAAAAAATATTTTATTTGTTTGCCAGAGAGAGAGAGAGAGAGAAAAGAGCGAGCGAGCGCACAAGCAGGGGGAGTGGCAGGGATAGGGAGAAGCAGACTCCCCTCTCAGCAAAGAGCCTGATGCAGGACTCGATCTCAGGACCTGGGATCCTGACCTAGGCTGAAGGCAGATGTTTAACTGACTAAGCCACCCAGGCATCGCTATGCACCACATTTTTGAGAGCCTTGTCACTAGTAGAGGATGGATCTCCTTTAATATTTAACACGGATCCATTTCTTCAAGACTGCATTTCTCCTCCCTATTTGACTTTGCATCTAATTTTTCACTAGTGTTTCAGCAGCAGAAAGTAAACTATTTTGGGTTTCTAAAGAAGTAGCAGGGTTAAAATGGAGGACACTGATCCAAAAATAAACAGGAGAAGGCAGAAATAGAATATATAAGGAAAGAAAGAAGAGACTATAAGCACAGATTTGGTAGGTATAAAAAACCAAGAAATACTATGACTAGCTTTAGGCCAATAAGCTTGAAATAGAAGACAAGTACCTTGAAAAGCAGACTTTACCAAAAATAACTCAAGAATAAGTAGAAAACTCGAATGACATTATAACCATGGAATAGCTTACATTTTTTCCACAAAAGAATTACCAAGATAATTTGATTTTTACAGAGTCCTAAAGAGAAGGTAGCTAGCTGCACAGAGAGCTCCGGAGATCTTCAAGTATCGAGCACAATACTGATCAGCTTACACATGCGAGGAAACTTCGGGAGGCCAGGAAAAGAACCCACAGGAAGAAGAGTCGGGTCTGCTCCCACCAGCACACTGGAAAACCTTCTAAGCTGTCATTTTAGCATCGAGCTCTACAGTAAGAAGACTCCAAAACAGTCCAGACAAGTCCTCTCAGGAGCTCCTGATCTGCTTCGGATCCTACGAAATCACAGATGTCTGTGACCAAGCTCGCAGCTGGTTGGAATTTCCAGCAACAAGACTAAGGCGGGTTTGTTGCCCTCCGGGTTTCCACACACAATCACTGCCTCCCTTTGCAGGGCGGCTACTGCCAGCCTGGCACTGCAAGAAAAGTCCGGACTCTCCGACACGCTATCTTATCACGCAATGGATTCTCTCTCAAGTCCCACAGGATAAAACCCTGAAAGTTCCATCACATGGAAATCTGACTTCCAGTTAAGAGCCAAACCAGGCTGCTTAAGCCTTAACCACTTTCACAAACAGGTGCCTGTAGTTTCCAAACAGTGGCCAAAATTCACAGGGCTCCCAAGGGATATTTTAAAATTGTAGGACAAGCACAGATATACGTGGTATCTGTCAGACACAGCAGTTTCAGAGTTTCAGAGTTTCAGAGTTATACCATGCTACATTCTGTTTGATGATATCATGTATTTGCAAGGCTGGGTTTTCAGCAACTGTGATTAAAAAAGCAAATATAAAAATTTTTTTTTTTAAATCTGATCCAAGGTCTGAGAAGCTGTGCAGTGTCTAATAGGCACATACACATCCCATTAGCAAGTTATTGTGGCTAAGAATGAAATAATATATTTTTAAATTTTTGTGTATTACTTTCTCAAAGTTACTAAGATGTACATAATACTTACATGAACATAATACTGAGTTTTTTGACTTCACTTAATAAATGGAACTTTCAGGTATTTCTTTTAGCCTATGGACATACTTAGGACACCACTAGGGACACCATGATCCAAGAAAATCTGAGAACCTCCTCATGAGACACCACAAAAGCTTACTTACTACTTTACCCAAACTACTAGCTCAATGGGGACCTTACCTACAAGACTTCACACCGGGAAAGACAGCAAATTCTCTAATAAAAGAGCTCACCCCAGGTGGGGCAAATTCAACGGAATGCCGTATTCGTCCACTGTAGTAGTAGCTGGTCCATTGCCTTGGATGTTCTGGCGAGGAGAAGAACTTCAAATGTGATCCTGGCAGGGGTCCTCGCACCACTTTGGGACTGACTGAACTCTACGAGTGGCAACGCTAACCCTTTACGGCTGCATGACCGGGCCACTGAGACACTGAGAACTGCACTACTGAAGACAAAACCATGTGCAGTCCCTCTCTATGGAAACAAAACCAGCAAACCCAGCTCATCCAGTCAGTCTTTATGCCATACACCTACCTGCTCGTGTGCACTGACTGCATCTCAGGAAAGGCATCTGGAGTCTGGCCTGACAAATCCAGCCTGTGTGGCCACGGTCTCTACTACAGCTTCTGGCTCTATAAGCAAAGGATTGGGACTTCCAATAACAAATTCTGTCAGCCTCCCCAGTAAAGATGTCTGCAGGGCTGACTGGTCCGGCTGTCTTCCGCTATTTATAAGTCAGCCTTCAACCACGCTAACCTCTCTTGGCTGAGTTCCCAAGCACCAAGGAATTAGATGCTAAAAAATGAGGTGCACTGGGGGACTAGTACACTCGCCTCCTTTTTGTGTAGGCGTACTTGTTCTGACCTCAGTGGATGGACATTTATAGAAAACCTGCTTTTACTTTAGTAAATGAATATATATTCCATATAAGCCCAGCAAACAAATAGATCATACTGATTAGATCAAAACACCAGTATGTGAAACTGTGGGCTGACATTGAGCGGTTCTGTAGCTGGTCTCCTTTGCCAGAGAGGTCACCGTGGAACTCATCATTATGGAAAAAGGAGAGCCAATCTGGGTCATGCCCAAGAGGAAGCGACACTATGTAATGGGTTGGGATTACCGTAGGCAGCTTCTGACATGGTTCCCAATGACCCTGCCTCCTGGTATTCACACCCTTATATAATCCTCTCCTCTTGACAGTGGACTGCACTAGTGACTTGCTTCTAGCAAACAGAATACAGCACAGGTGATGAGATGTTACTTCCGTGATTAGGTTGCAAAAGACTGACTTACTGGCACTCTTTCTTGCTCTCTCTCTTCCTTGCTCTCTGATGAAGCAAGCTCCCATGCTGTGAGATACTCTGTGGAGAGGCCCATGTAGCTGGGAATAAGGGAGGCCTCTGGTCAACAGCCATGAAGAACTGAGGCCTTAGTCAACAAGCTACAAGGAACCGAATCCTACCACCAATCATGTGAGTGAGCTGGGAAGCAGATCTTTCCCAGTCAAGTCTTATGATGACTGTGGCCTCATGAGATGGCAAGATCCCAAAAGACTCAGCTACATTACACCCAGATTCCTGACCCAAGGTAACTGTGAAATAATAAATGTTGTTTTAAGCCACTAAATTCTGGAGTAATTTGTTATGCAGTGATGGATAACTAATGGAGGTGTGAGGGTCAGTTTTATTTAT